GGTTCCTCCCCCAGAGGAGAATTCCAGTGTAGAAGGAAAGGTGTGAATATTTACACAAAGAGAAAAGCGCGCTCTGAAGAACACAGCTGCTGGTAACCTCCTTCCAATAACTGTTCGCACGACCATTACAGCTATGGGTGACCAGCAGCAGCAAGCTCCAGACTTACAGAGGGTACGTGGAGGAGGTCACTGCGGGAACTGCCACCGCCCTGTTAAGAGAAATGTGCACGCTTTGCAATTCAGACAACGGTACAGCCTTCAGGGAAAGGGCAACTAAATCTCAGAAATCAAATGCTCTTACAGACGCCAGTGAAACAGCATGCCCTCCCTGATCCCTAGGGGTATTTGCACTTGCTGCCTCAGTTCTAGCCAGTCGGCAGTCTGAGATGAGAAGGCATATTTATCAGGAGAGATAAGGCATTTTTCTGAACTCTTCATCCTATTCAAAAAAAGGCATGAACATCTGCCCTCCAAAGGGTGAGTCTTCAACAGCCCTGTAAGAAAGGTTTGGGAGAGGGAAGAAACAGATCATTATCCTGATTTATATGAACTTGGAGATTAAAGTTATCAACTACTTTTATCTTAAAAAAATCTTAAAAAGGAACATGGAAGAGCTTTGCTTTGGCAATATTCTTGAGAGACTGTTTACATTGGAACTCTCTACAACCTTGCAGACGGAAGCTAACAGCTAAAGAGAATACAAGAGCAAAAACAAAGCGAGAAGAAACCAAATCTATGGACATCATGACTGAAAGATCATCAGTGTTTTGCAAACATGAGGTCTTGTGGAAAAATGTCTGAAAAAATGACAAAGAATGTAGACTGGCAGATGGGTGGGAGCCATTAAAGAGTTTTCAGTAAAGGTCTCAAGTGTGTGACGTGAGGTGATTCTAGATCAGGTGGAACCTGGAGAGCCAGTATCCAAAAAGGAGGAACGCAAGATGAACCAGGGCGGGGGGATACGTGACTTTTTTCCCAGTTATGAACATGGGAAGAATAGCCTACACTGATATTACTGGTTTCTGGCATTTGGTGCCTGGGATATGAGATACTTAAGTGCAGAGCTGAACATATAAGAGCTAATGTAAAAATCCTACAGAAACTTTCTTTCTGGAAACTATAGCAAGAAGTCTAGAGTATTTTACATTCACCCATCAAGCCAAATGAAATTGCTATCAATCTTTTTATCCTCAGGCAGAATTCTATAGTTCCCTACCCTGTTTCACAGTCTTCTTACAAGATTTTCTGCTAGAAAAGTACAAGATCTGACAAATTACCAGCGGTACTGTATACGCAAGTAATACACTACACACAGCATTTAATCATCTTTTTCATCATGAAACAGTTTAAAGTTCATCTAAATTCTCACCAAGGTACTCATCTTGCTCTCACTAGTTTCTTCACATACAGTATTTTACTAATTGTAAAGTAATATAGCTGTGTACACTTAGCAAAAAACTTTAAGCAGCATTTCCACAATAGCCCAATAAAATTGCTACTATAAATAACACTGTTTTCAGTTTGACTAGATTTGTTAGAAATTGTCAAAAAATTTGAATTATACAGCCTCCTAAAGCAGATCAGAGGGATTGTTCTTTGATCTCATCTGTCATCTTCCTTGGCATAACACCTGCTGACAGCAGATCTAGCAATTGGTATTTACAGGACTTTGAAGTTGTTTCAGGCCTCAGATAAATAAATAGAAGATGCAACAAGGGACAGGACCAGCTAGTGGTAGCTGATAAAAGTATGTAGAAGTAACAATAGAACCATTTAGGCTGGAAAAAACCTTTAAGATCATTGAGTCCAACTGTGAACCTAACACTGCCAAGTCCACCACTAAACCATGTTCCTCAAAGCCACATCTGCACATCTTTAAAATACCCCGAGGGATGGTGACTCCACCCCTTCCCTGGGCAGCCTGTTCCAGTGCTTGATAACCCTTTCAGTGAAGAAATTTTTCCTAACATCACAGAATCACTAAGGCTGGAAAGGACCTTCGAGATCATCAAGTCCAACCGTTAACCCAACACCCCCATGCCCACTAAACCATGTCCTGAAGCGCCACAGCCACCCATTTTTTGAACACTTCCAGAGATGGTGACTCCACCACCTCCCTGGGCAGCCTGTTCCAATGCCTGACCAACCTCTCGGTGAAGAAATTTTTCCTAATATCCAATCTAAACCTCCCCTGGCGCAACTTGAGGCCATTTCCTCTCGTCCTGTTGCTGGTTACTTGGGAGAAGAGACCAACACCCACCTCACCACAACCCCCTTTCAGGTTTGTTGTCACAGACTGTAAGCACCTCATGAAATACAAGGTTTTATTTTTATTGATTTTTAAAAGTCAACGCCTATCACAGTAATGCTGCTTGAAGTCTTTGGGCCCTGGTGCAACAAAACCAGTAGATTCCACTTTACAGCAACACACAAAATATCAAACCTAACTGCATCAAATCCTGTCTACTTTGCTTACAAACCATCACTTTTCTTCATAAGAATTTTCTATGCATTTCTAGACCGAACTTGGACAAGATTGGTTAGCTTATGTAACAGCAAAAATTAATCAGGCGAGATAAAAAATTCTGTTTAGATCTTTAGCCACTTTAACAGTTGCTGGAGTTACTAGAAGAGCTGTAATCTGTAAGCAGAACTTTGGCTTCATCATTACTGCTCATCAAAAGTAAGCTGGGACCAAATGAGTTTGTTGATCCTTAGCAGCTCCTCAGGGATGACAGGCTAGCAGTGTTCCTTAACTGAGAGAAGAAGTTTCATGGGAAACATCTCATAACATTTCCTCGTCCTCAAAATATTTTTTTCCTGAGGAGAACATGAAGACAATTGTGTATTGACTGTTCTGATGTACAAAATTTTTGGTATTTCTTCATAATCCTTCAGAACTTCGATCTATAGCAATATTTTCAGGTGACATATCTGTCTCTTCTGATAGATAGTAATGAAGTGTGAGGATAATTAAAAACCACCTTCTCTCTGATTCAGTAGCTTTTAGTATTGTAAGGGGTTTCTTTTGTTGGTTTACTGATTACAGGTTCAGTGTTGAATTGGTTACATTACTGATGTAACTTAAGCAATGAATAGGATTGTAAAATAATTGCTTTGTCCAGAAAATCCCTTATGTGGTAAGTCTTCAAAGCTTTATTTTGTTACCTAATTCGAAGAATATGTGAAATGTGTATGGTAAGCCACCAATTTCATTAGGACTAAAGGACATCAATGCCTAATGATGCCTGTGTCTCCACTCGAGCTTTAGCTGTTTAAAGTCAAATTTAAGTCATGGTTTTAAAAAAAAAGCTGCAGATAAAATTTCTGGACAGGAAAGAGAAAAGTATGATTTGCTTATTCCTTGTTGAATGGCTTTGTACTCTGAGGTGTTGTGGGGGCTCAACTATTCATGGAAACCTGGCATTACCAGTGGCAGAGACCTGTGTTTCTCCTCAGTATCCAGCCATGTTTTTTCATGTTTTATTTTGGTTTTGAGTCTTGGCATTTTAACCCACATGTTTGAGACCCTAGACAAGTTTACTGCAATGAATTCCACTGCCACAGCTCACATCAGGTAGTGTTAACCAAAGAGGTAGCAGGTTTATTAAGAGTTCTTCAGCAGCTGCACTGGCTTGGGAGGTCCACAGCTGAACATGGATGACCATACGCTACCTCTGCAGGCATTACACCCTTGATCACAAAGTATTTTGGATTGCATACAGAGTAGAATTGAGGTAAATACTATAGTAACGTGCAAGTTGTGAAAGGAAACTATACCCATTTCACAGAGTGCTTAGTTTGCAAAACTGTGTGGGACTTGCAGCTGTTCCTGTACCATCTCAAAAGTTACCTCAGGTTGCCTGGAACTGCAGAACCCTAGGACCCTTTTCCAAAAATACACAAGCCACAATGCACAGTGTCAACTGCTGCAAGAATGCAATCTCTCAGCAAGATGACACTGTGTATACAAACGATGGTGCTGCTGGATGGAGAACAGCATTTCTCAACTGAACTGGCTGAGGGAGTACTAATTTGAAGAAATAAACTACGAAGAATTGCCAGGACCATCAACAACAACCTCTTTCCCCTTTAAGGACAGTGCTTTACCATACAGCTAAGCTAGTGATTAATTGTTGCTGGAATTTGTGCTCATTCTTCCTTCCAGCTATAAAATTGTACCACTGCCCCAAGTTCAGCACTGTCACTTGCTTGACCTTTCAGGGAGGAATCCTCAGAGAAAACCAGCCACTCAGAAGAGTAGATCAGAGGTCTTTCTCTGGGGAGGGCATGGTCTGTGGCTCATCTCTGCTGCTGAAGACCTGATGGAAACCTATCAAAGCTCTATTAAGGTAGGCATCTGACTTGCTTTCTCCAGAAAACTTGCAGTAGTGGAGTACGCCAATGTTTCTTACATTTTAACATATTAAAGGGCTGGCTGTGAGGGTCTCTTGAAAGTAGACTCCGTTGTTAAGAGACTACACCTAGGTTCAAGAACATGCACATTTTGATTTCTATCTCACAGACAGTTTTCTGCTGTATAAGACATGAGATCCTGAAATTCACAGATTGATTCCAGACTGTGCAGACTGCAATGCAAAAACATAACCAGACAGCATAGATCAGTGCACATCCTTCATGTCACTTGCTCGGGAATGGAGCTCTTGTACGCAGGCAGGAAGGTCCCAACAATATTTCTGCTGCCTAGTGCCGAAGCTGTGCTGGAATGTGAAAAACAGTAGCCTCCAGAAAGCGCTGGTGCTGACATCTCATGAAATGTGTTATGGTTGCAAAAAAAAGAGTAGCCTCCCTTCTAAGGGCTCTCTGCGGAGTACAGGACAGCAAGGCTGCCATGGGTCAGCAGCAACGGGAACTGCATGCAGCTGGCGCAAGCTCAGTGACAAGAGTTATCCTCTTCCAGTGCATTCCAAAGTCCCAACTTTTAAAGACTTTTTAAAAAATAAAGTAGTATTTCATTTTCATATAATGATTATGAAAAGTGGATTCTGAATAATCTATAGCCATTAAAAACATTACTTGCTTCCCTCTTAAAACATTCTTGTGGTTTTGCAATTATGCCTTCTGTATTTTTTAATGTAATTTGCTATTCTGTCTCCACTTTATCTCTCTGCATTTCAACCTTGTCATTTCAGTTACTGTTAATTAAATATAGGCCATGGTATTCCTACCATTTTCTAAAGCCTCTAAAACATGTTTGTGCAATTAAACCCTCCCCCAGTATGCTAGCTTTTCAAACTTATAGTTAATCTTTATGGCATGTTCCCAAATAATTTCTGAGGTTAAAAGATTGCTTTTCACTAAGTAATTCCTCAAAAACTTTATATAAATGAATTAATGTGAAAAGTATCTATACAAATTGCAAGAAGTTTGTTATTCTAATTTCACTTACCTGGGACAGTAAAGTTTTAATCTATCTAATTGCATATGAAAATAAACTGGATGAATTTCACTTGCAATGACACCAGATATACCTGTTACCTTTCAAAGTCCATTTATACTGCTAATAATTAAAGTATAATTCATTTAGTAAGGAAGAAAGACCATCCTCAGGAAGAAGAAAAACATCGTACTTCATTAAGAGATGTTACACTGGAAAATCCATTGTATATGAAAAATTATGAATAAACTACAGCAGTAATGAAGAGTGCTAATTTTAAACTAGAAGTCAGACATACAGTGTTTCTAGTGGTGTAGATTGATACTAAATTCTCTGTGTTTACATTATCTTAATCTGGGAACACAAAGTAAACTGTGTGTGGTTTGCTATCTTTAGTTGACATAAGTGGAGTTTTTCAATTACTAAACAAATAATCACTGAATTTAAACGCTTTAGATACATTCTGTACAGAGTCCTTCCTCTACTTCATAGCTTTTCTAAACAAGGAAATAACTTGGAAAGGCTCCCAGTATGACACCTCTCTTACTTCTAACTTGAGCACTCTTGTGCCATTAAGCTTTCCTTAGTAGGCAACTAGTTAAGCCTCACAGCTTAACAAAACGGACATGAGCCAGCAATGTGCGCTCGCAGCCCAGAAGGCCAACTGTATCCTGGGCTGCATCCAAAGTGGGTCGAGGGAGGCGATTCTGTCCCTCTGCTCCGCTCTGGCAAGACCCCCCGCAGTGCTGCGTCCAGCTCAGGAGAGGTGTTCCATCCCTCCAATGAGGTCAGGCTGAGAGAGTTGGGGTTGTTCAGCCTGGAGAGGAGAAGGCTCTGGGGAGACCCTACTGCAGCTGCCAGGACTGAAAGGGGGCTTAGAAGATAGGGACAGACTTAGCAGGGCCTGTAGCGATAGGACATGGGGTAATGGTTTTAAACTAAAAGAGGGCAGATTCAGACTAGATCTAAGGAAGAAATTATTTACAACGAGGGTGGTGAACCCCCAGCCCAGGTTGCCCAGAGAGGTGGTCGATGCCCCATCCCTGGAAACATCCCAGGTCAGGCTGGACGGGGCTCTGAGCACCCTGATCGAGTTGAATATGTCCCTGCTCACTGCAGGGGGTTGGACTAGATGGCCTTGAAAGGTCCCTTCCAACCCAAACCCTTCTATGATTCTATGAAAATCAAATGAGGGAGCTACTAAAACTTGAAAGAGGAACTGTTTAAAGAAAGTGAAAACTCTGCTTTTTCCTATCCTTTCGTATTTTTCAATCCCCGAAAACCTTTATAGACAAATTGCTCCCATATTAAGAAAAAGAGATAGCAGATGTATGCAGTATCCAACAAGTCCACCTTGTCCTGATGGAAATGAAGTTACTTCATGTGTTAAAACTGCAAATCATTTATTTCTGCACCTTCTGTCTGCCTTAAGCGCCAAGTAGGTTCATGGGTTGGAAGCTAAAATTTGCTACCTCGTACTTAAGAGACTAGGAGTGTGTACAGTCACTTGCCGTGACTCTACTAACAGGCTGCATATTGAGACACTTCTGTGATTTGCATAGTTGAAAGCACACAGTTACATAGTTTGGGTCCATCATATGAAATCTGCAAGATCTCATTTAAAACTGTTGTCAACAGATGATTAAAAAAGTCTGTAATAAAACAAAAGTTAGGAGTCAATAAATACATACCTAGCCAAGACCTAGCTCTGTATGTAGGAGAATCAGACCAAGGGAAAATTCACCCTAAGTGGAGCTTTAGTGCAACTACCTCAAGATTCATTTCTCCCAGTGAAACTGTACTTCTATGCTAATACTTTAACTGTCAGTAATCAAAATAAGTGATTTTTTATTCACAGAAAATACCAATGCACAAATAAAAATCCAGTCGATATACTAAATTCCAGTCACTTAACACCTATTCCAGTCTTGTCCACTTCAGAAAAACGATTTGCATTATAGTTCTCTGCTTGTTTCTATTCAAAACTTACCTGTTACAAGCTCTTTTATTTCGGCATCAACAGATTTTCTCAACAATCGTAAAAGGGCAGGTATCCCACCAACGTTCTTCATTGCTATTTTGTTTTCATCAGTAGATTTCCCATAAACAAGGTTTCTCAGTGCACCGCAAGCATTCTTCTGAACTTCCAGGACTCTGTGATCCAGGAGATCAACGAGGTGCTTGATTCCTCCTAGCCTACATACCTAGAAAATGGAATGTCGGGAACATCAGCACCCATTGATTTCACCCATTTCACTCTACAGATTTAAAAGGCTTTTATTTGTATAAAAACAGTATGTTCCATTCTACTTCAAGAAGAAATATTGTTAGTAAATCTTATAACTTGATTGATATACTGTACTGAAAATTCCTGTGAATGACTCACATCCTTGTTGAAAAGGCTGATGGACATTTTCAGTCATTTCCTGTGTTCGGAGAAGAATTGTTACTGCTAAAGTTTTGTTTGCCAGTAATGCAGTTTTAAAGTAATTTCCTATGCTTCAGAATATCTTTTTAGGGAATATTAGAAATAAGAAGGTGCAAAGATTTAAATGCCAACTATTTACACTTAGCTACACACACACATAAAATAATCAGTTCAAATTAGCATATATCGAGTCCTATTGGCATATATTAAGTTCTTTTTAAAAGGAAATTTCTGCATAAATTTCATAAAACAAGAAGAATATTTTATATCATTTGTTTTAAACAGGTTAGTTGCATTTATTCTTTGTTATATAGTTAAAAAAAATTTTGACTGTTTTGAGATCTCATTTCCATGTAGTACTTTTCTTTGTTCAAAATAACTTAGAGATGATAAAAGATTCAAGTATTTTAGAATTCTGCAATATTGAAATATTTATTTCGTAAAGAGGTAACTAAGTAGTATTACTTACAAGATTAGCATTAATTTTAAATTAAAAATCACCATCAAAAGGCTACCAAAATATTTTCTATGAACTGTTTCAAAAAATATGAACTATTTTGTACTGTAAGATTGATCTATTACAACCTGATATTATTTTAGTACAGCAGAATAACTTTTGTGCCATACTATCCATAGAATACGCCTAATGAAGTTGGCACAGTCTAAAACCCCTCCACCTACCGCAGCTAAGCTGCTGCTGCCCTAAGGAGATGCCATGGTGAAGAGAGCGCTACACCACCATTCCTGAATACTTCGCCTATACAGGATGCGGTTCTGGGCCAAACAGACGAGAGGTAAAACATAACAGTCCTCAGGATTCTCTAGTTCAGCATTAAAAGCACTTTGAGAGGCCCCTTTTCTATTCTAACCTGTATAATATTAGTTTGGCAAGCCAAAAAACAATTGAGATGCAAGGTCCAAGACCAATGCTGTATTTGATTCTTATCTGTCAAAACATCTCTTAAGTAAAATGAAAGGGAAAAAAAAAAAAGAAAGATTGGTGACTTGGAGGTTTTTTTAGACCTCTGTTTAAAATGTATCTTTTTCAAAAGGAAACCTCTATTTAAACACCTAGATATATCTAGTATGCAAGTTAGCAATCTAGGGGATACAAAGTTTGGCACTGATCAATTAGACAAGCTACTGCTATGCCAAAAGCCACCAGAACTTTTAAGTTTAAAGTTATTCACCTGGCAAGATTTCTGCAGCTAGGAAATGATTACCTTACGAATTATTTAGTTGATACAGACTACACTGAAAGCATATACTGCAGGATGCTATTAAAAAACCCCTAAATTTAAAGTTATTCTTTTTCAAGGCAAATAATTCTTATTTCTGTTACCAAATGAAGCAACAAATAACTATTCATACTTTTCAGTTAAATCTCCCTCTTGTATGTTGATACAGCACATCAAACACTACATCTACACTACGCATCCATAATACAGATAACAATTTATGAATGACAAAATAGCTTTATCATTTTTTCAATCTGTACTCAAAACTTGATGAGATACAGTTTTTGTGTATATAATTCAAAATGAAACTGGACTAGAAATCCATTCTTAAGATTTGTATTTTGCTGAGTCATGAACAATTTTTAAATGTAGCAGCTATTGCTAGTTTGAACAGGCATTTCAATTTCTAAATAAAAAAAAAAAATCAGAATTCTTGTAAAATGATGTATTAATGAACTAATATATCAGTATTGTATTTCCAGATAGATATTCATTACATGGAAGTGCAATTTATTCGTTCTGTGTAGTTTCATAGCTAATTTAAATGGTAAATATCCCCCCCCCGCCAAACAAGCAGTTTCTCATGCTTATCTTCAGGTTTTAGCTATGCAAGTATTCTAGTTCATTTTGCCAGACTTTTATTTTAATATTGTTAATAGGCTAGCAAATTAATCTGGTCTTTACCACAGCAATAAAATAATAAATTTAAGTAATGAATTAATTATGTTGGGGTGTCTTATAAAAGTTGCACCAACATTTTATTAACATAATATTTATACTGAAAATAACAGATAACTCGACATATATGGTATGAATGAAAAAGCAAATTCCTTCAGATCAATAGCTCATAGCCGGTCTGCAAAAAGAGCGGCTCTTCAAATGCAAACAGTTTCTAGAAATTTCAACAATAACCTGAATTGTCACACAAGATGTATCCTTCCTCCACCTCATACTGACACAAACACTATCCTCTATTATTTCTAGGGTTGGATTTCTTTCCTTTGCTTGACAGCTGACTCATTCCCTACGAGGCCTTAAAATATCTTCATCAAAACCAGTGGAAAGCCTTCCAGAATTCTCGTTTTCCTTATCTACAGTCATCAACAGGTTACACAAAAACAGGCTTCGGTAAACATACTTTACAGTTCTGCTAGATTACACAACTTGAATGTAAAATATTTTCACATCATTTCCATGCAGCCTCTTATGACAGGAAAAATCTCTGTGTCTGTGTGTAATTACACACACCTAGGTACTTCAATATTGTCATACATCTGGTACAAACACACACAAAAGGGTCCAGAACACCGTGTTATGATGAAAACAACAAAAAAGGAGAGAGGTCTAGTTTTCCTTTTACAGTTTCCCCAGGAACAGAAACGCAGTCAGTGCAGTACCTCCGTTTTTACTTTGTTGTCGCCAAAGCACAGGTGCTGAAGGTAGGCAGCTGCATTCGCCTGAACTGATGGGAACTGGTGTTGAAGCATGTGAATGACTTCAGGCAGTTCTGGATCTCGCCAAGCAAACTCCCTTCATGAGATGAACACATTCAAGAGAAGGCATTAGTTATAAATGCATGTTTATTTACCAAGTAGAATTACTAGAGGATCTTAGGTGTTTTTGAACAATTCTGTTTTTGTTCTGGAGTGTCAGGGCTACGAGGAAAAACAGGTATATTAGATTAACTATGAGATACATCACCTTTTAGTCTTCCAGTTGGAAAAGGACGCTTTATATCCCATGTTCTTCAGCTAGCTTGGTTATAGATCACACAAAAATACATATACTAAAATTATACCAACTCAAGCACTGCAACCTCCATAGATCTCTCAAAACTTAAATATATAATGCAACAGATACCCACTTAACAATGCTGCTCAGGTGCATCTCCCCCACACAACATTTTGTCAGTGCTCAACGTTCTTCCTAATCTGAAGTCAATTATACTGCAACAAAAGCTGCGCAGCCTGAAATTTCATCATCACGATCAGATGCAGGAAGTTTACATAATTTGAGTTATTCAGGGATTGTAAACTTAAAATCATTAAAATCAAATCTCCTTCATTAAACAAAATGATGTTGCACAGGCGAATCCTGGAAAATTCATTAAACATACCAACGCCCAATTCACAGGTTTAGAAATATACCCATTAACATTTACAGAAGGAAGATAACCCAGCAAAGAGGGGAATGGGGCGGGGGGGAAGTAGTATCTAAGTTTTACCCATTCTCAAATACAAGTAAATAAATTAAAAAAAAGGATATTACAAGAATAGTACTTGGGGACCTATTCAAAGGCTAATGCTAGCCTGGCCAGTTGGGTCTCCCCAGGATTTCTACAGTCACCAAAAAGGGAAAGTTCAGTTATGTGCTTACTTTGAACTGCTCAACAACTTAGAGATTTACTTCTCCATACTAACGGTAGGAAGAACTTATAGAAAACTGCCTTTCTAATCTGAATGCTCCCTCACTCTTATTCTAAAGTGATGCTTTCAAATAGCCCAGTCTGAGGCTATTGGAATGCATTAACCTAGCCTCTGCCATAGCATGATATGCAAATCAGAAACTGAAACAGATTAAAATATAAGGTAAAACTACTCTACTGTGAAATTACAAGACAAGAAGGTGCATCAGCAATGAAAATTAAGTCAGAATTTCTTTAAAGTTTCTGGTTATGAATGTGAAGCATCCCTATTATAAGTAACCTTTTTTGTAAGCCATGCCAGAATAGGCCAGCAGTAGCATGCAGCTAGCAAGCATTACTTGGAGGTAAGATTATCCTATTAACATAGAATCGTAGAATCTTTGGGTTGGAAGGGACATTTCAAAGCCATCTAGTCCAACCCCCTGCAATAAGCAGGGACATCTTCAACTCGATCAGGTTGCTCTGAGCCCCGTCCAACCTGACCTGGGATGTCTCCAGGGATGGGGCATCGACCACCTCTCTGGGCAACCTGGGCCGGGGGTTCACCACCCTCATTGTAAATAATTTCTTCCTTAGATCTAGTCTGAATCTGCCCTCTTTTAGTTTAAAACCTTTACCCCATGTCCTATCGCTACATGCCCTTGTAAAAAGTCTGTCCCCATCTCTCTCCTCAGCCCCTCTCAGCCCTGGCAGCTGCAGGAAGGTCTCCCCGGAGCCTTCTCTGCTCCAGGCTGAGCCCCCCCAGCTCTTCCAGCCTGTCCTCCCAGCAGAGCTGTTCCAGCCCTCGGAGCATTGCTGGGGCCTCCTCTGGCCCCGCTCCAGCAGGTCCGTGTCTCTCCTGTGCTGCGCGCTCCAGAGCTGGACGCAGCCCTGCAGGGGGGTCTCCCCAGAGCGGGGCAGAGGGGCAGAATCACCTCCTTCCTGTTTTTTCATTGAAACATAGTTTAGATGAATATACCATTCAGTTAAATGAAATTAATCCTCTCCCTCAATATCTATTTAAAAAAAAAGAAATATATTAATTTCCACTAATAAACAAAACAACAACATCTATTAAAAATGTGCTTTTACTTTCTAGACTGAAGGACAGGGCCAAACTAGAAAATAACTGAATCATGTTATGAGCCTTCTGTAATGCAGGAAGCTCAAAAGATTTCAGCGTAAGACTCTAGTCTGACCATAGCTATTAGCTATCTTTATTCAAAGTTTATTTGGTGCCCTAACATTTCCATCTGAAAGACTCCTGGGCATCACTGGAGTTCAGATCCTCCAGTATGAGGTGCTCTGCTTTCACTTATTTCTAAACCAGCTGAATGTGTAATGTGCTTTCACGACCAAGGCGTGTCTAGAGGCTGCCTCAATGAACTGGCAATCTGAGGACAGACTGGAATTTCTAGCAGTCACATACCCATACTGAAGATAAACAGTACCATAAATCCCTCCAAGCTTTGCATGGGCTGGGTTTTGATATTCCCATTTTAAAATACACGGTTTTAATGAACAGTGTCTCTAATAAATTGTAATGATAATATTAGACTTGTCACATGCCCATACTGTGTACCTACACTTACAACATCAAACTAGTAACTATTTTAAAAATTTAAATGTGTATTCGCTTCCAAAATGGTACATTTATGTATAATTTTTAAACTTAAGTTGTTCTGAAATTTAAGCAGGATGCTCACGAAAAATTCATTCAAATGAATTAGGTATGTAGTTTCTAATTTTCAACCCTGATTCCCGTTCCCATACAGAGAAAACTTACTATGGTATTACAGGTTGCTCTGTAGAGTTACTAAAAATATTTGGAATAATCCAGTCAATTCTCATCAAATTTGTATGTATTTCCTGTAATAACTTCTACATGAAAATAAACATGGAAGAAAAATGTAACAACAACTAAATGCACAGAAGCTGCTCTTTCTGACTGTAACAAGTAGACTGCATTTATTACTTTGGATGTAAAAGGTATAGATCTTAGTATCCAAATTGGTCATGATTGTTTAAACAGTGTAAAACTGCAATATGCACAAAGTGTCATATATATTCAAGGAATAATACATTCTGTATTAAAAATCTTATTACGGCAAACATGTATGATTCTTGAAAGCACAAATGGACTTGCCTGGGGTCTTTCTGAATGCTGTCTATCGATGGAGATCGCGTGGTCCCATCATCGGCGGGCGTTGCGTGCTGCAGCCTGTTATAATTGGACTCTGACAGTCGATACTGCATTGACCTGTAGGGTTCCGCATAGGTAGCTGTTGTGTTCAGAGCATAATTATTTCTTTGGTATGTGAGTGTGCTACGCTGACTGGATGATCTTTGCAGATTTCCGACTCCTAGTATAAAATCAGTATTAAAACAAACTAGGTAACAAATGTCTATTGAAGAGAAGAGGCAATACATGGTTACAAGTGTAAGCAAAAGACCTCAACCAACCAACCAAAAAACACCCAGTCTTAAAAACGTGTACCATGCTCGATGTTGAAAGCTATTGCCAGATTTAAGGAAGCAATTACTCAATTGCTTACTCCCAGGGAAGATAGACATGTTAGTTACAGAACTAAAAGTCTGGTGAAATGAGGCTTATGCCTCAGCTTACCTTACCAAGTATTTAAAGTAAGAAATGCATCTTGTGCCATTAAGTAGAAATCAGGATGCAACACATTTTCAACATTTGTAATACAATTGTAATACAATTCAATTACTAGCAGTAACGTCAATTTGCCAACTGTACTAAAAAGGAAAAATAAGTAAACAAAAAATCTGATATAAACAAAATTTTATATCATTTATATGATATTTTCTTTTTCACAAGTACGTGTATATTTTCCCTGACAAAAAGCTAAAAGGAAGTTGACTTCAAAGATTAAGCTGATTGTTTCAAAACCAGGATTATGTATCTTCCTGACTTAAATAAGCTGTTGTGGTAGCTTTTGTTCTTCCAAGGTAAGTGATATTAGGTAGAGAAGTAAACAGAGAATTCCAATTTCTAGTTATATTTCCTCAGTGGCACATCCTGATGAACTTGATTTGTTTACTCTGAGTTGTAGAAAACAGGAGAATTGCAAAAACTGTTGCCTCCTTCAACATTTCATACTTTTACTATTTCAGTTACATTACAAAAACATTGAAAAGCAATTTTCAACTGTGTGAAAACATGACATATGAATCACACACTTGTATATAAACATTTCTAGCGAGTTACCTAGTTAAATCACTGTAATATTTTGAGTTTTTGGAAATCACTCCACTATACAAATTATTAATCAACCTTAAAGAACAAACTGCACTGCAGTTTATATATTTTATATATATATATACACACTTACATTTCTTTTTACAGAAAATCAGTTCTAATACTAATCTAACACCTATCCACTTCATCATATATGAGTAGCAATTCTATGAAATACTATAGAAATATTTCAGTTTCAATATACGACCTTCAGATATAGTATTTTAACATTATCCTTTGCTGAGAAGTTGGGTAAAACCAGTATTTTTACTGTGAAAGATGCGGTAGGTAATTTAAGTGCGCAAGCTAGCATTTTAGCGTATTGATGAATAAAAAAAAAAAGAACAAACTCAATTCATAAGCGAATGATGCACAGAGAATGCAAGAGGAAGTAATAAATCTTTTGTGTCATGAAATACGGTTTGCTTGGACGTACCTAAGCATGTGATATCAAACAGAAAATATTCTGACCCTAAGCTGACGCTGATAGATAGCCTCAAGTGTTTCTTGCAAACATCACAAAAGCTTTTTAATTTATGCTTGTTATTTTAAGTCCTTCAAACCTAGTTTCTACGTCCATTAATTTATAACATCTGGTTTTTCCTTGTAAACTGGCATTACACATCTCATACGTTCTCCTAGATGCCATAGGTTCCAGAAAAACTCCAGTAAGCCAATTAGGCATGTCTTTGGGACCTGGTCCATGGAAGAGCTTTGGAAGCCCTTTACCCACCTGACCCTGTTCGATACAACGCTGACTGGGATCCCTGGTGGAGCTCAATTGTTCCATGATTTGGACTACGGTACACTGGACTGTAGTAAGTTCTGCCTTCATAGATAGGGGTGATGTGCAAGTCAGGAGATACAGTTGATCGTAATTCTTGTCCTAGTTGACTGTGTTGACTAGCATATGAACTCCTGAGGCCTAAAAACAAGACGACAAAAATATGTACATGGCCCATATCAATTAAAAAGAATAAAGCTTGACTCTTCCTTCTTTTAGCCATGAAAAGGTGTTAGTTACATGTCAGTTATAAAGATTTGTTCATTAAACTTCTTCCCATTATTAAATGATCCATACTTAAAAATTCATGACAGAGCAGCATTTCTTTGACGAAAAGTTTTGTCCGTACACTGACAACTTTAAGTTTTCCAACTCAATTTTTTTGGTAGCACTTATAGCTGAAAGTCTAAAACATACAGAGTAAAAGCTAAGTCAGCATGTGCAGTTCACAGATTCAGCAATGATAAGGGAAGTTGTGAACGTGACAGCAATCCAGTTGTGAAACAGGGCACAGCCTAAAGTGGGGTGATAATCTGGAAAATGAAACAATATGTAGCAGTAAGAGCAAAAGTCTTCCTGGTAGTGGCAGCAGAGATATAAGGATATGGAGAAAAGTCTTTATAAAGGTTTAAATAGCCCACATTGTATATATATGGAGAGAGATAAATATATAGCTATGCTGCAGCTGTGTGAGAATTTCTTTTTTTCACCTTGCCTTTCAGCTGTCCCTGTTGAGATTCTTTTAACTTATCGCTGTCTCATTTAACTTAAAATTCCTCGTTAGTGGACCTTCTGATACCAATGTTGCAGTGTTAGATTCAAATACATTATTGGCAGAGGTGCAGAACAGCTTTTCAATAACAGCATTTTGAATAGCACTGCACAAGTTCAGGTTTGCTTCTCCTCGTGAAGGTTCCCCTTCTATCCGATCCATGAAAACATCATTCATGTTGCCTAGAATTTCTTTCTGTGCATTCCAGCGTGTTACTGTATTTCTGTAACCAGCACTGATGTATCCTTCCCCTTACTATTCTGCCAAATGAATTAGCAACCAAGCTCTTTATTAAGTTCACTGTTTCCACCTTGATTAGGAGGCTGGTGGTACAGACTTCATCCTGCATTTCTTCCTTTTCAGCCCCAGAACATTTTTTGACATATAGCACAAACTCCTCCCATTGACTAATCTCACTCATGCTTTGTGTATACTTTGCTTCCTGGTACTGGTGGTGTACTAACTACCCACCATCAACCTTCTCGTCTATTTTTAGAGCTTTCATTCAAAGCATCCTAGTTCCCCTATTTTATACTTCCACAGTCTACAGAGAAGCACTAACATATTAAACTGGGTAGAGAAAAAATAGTTAGAATTTAGCTAATTCTGACAGTTGTTCACCATTTCCTACTTCAGATTTTTCAGCTTCTGTGCTGCTCTAACTGAGGGTACAGAGCTTTTGCAACTAACAGGATGCATCATCCAAAGGAAAGCTCATCTGCACTCATCAGTTTCTCCCCTACCCCTACTCTGAAAAAAAAAATCTTTTGGAAGCATTTCAGAATTGCTGTGTTTCAATAGTCCTCTCAAATCTCCCACAGTTCTGCATCATCTGTTTCATTGCCCTACTCATTCCTAACTGACAGTCTCCTTGGCTGAACCTTTAGCTAGCTAAGTGCCAAACAAGCCTCAGATGCTCATATTCAATAAAATATAAGCCACACTCATACTTATTTTCAAACTTAAGTTTACTTACATATTATATAATTGCTACACCATACTTTTGCCACCTACACCAGCATGTTTTTGAATATTAAACTAATTAGGAAAATTCTCTTTAATTTTGACAAGCTTTTATTTTTCACATCTGTATTCTAGTCTCTTGAATTTTTACTTCCTTTGAAACAATTACACAATACTTATCCTTTTGTCTCTGAGATTTACCTTGCCATGGGAACCTCTTCCACTCTCTGACTTCTCCTCACTGCATCTTGCAATGGCCTAATCTCACCTTCACCCCTTTTGAACTCACTCCAGTTCCTTCTGCTCCTGGCATTCTTAGCTTATTCTGTGATTTCACCAGTTTTGTTCTCTTAGTTAAATTCTTCAGAGTAAAGATAACCAAATATACTTCCCATCATAATACAGTAAATAAGTGTGACAATCACATACACTCCACTTTGCCTCAGACCAGCATTCCTCACGCTTCCCTTCCTAGACCGGTAACCTAATTTTTTAAATTGTACAACATAATTTAGTGTCAACTTTCTTGCCAAAATTATATGCAGAGTTTATCTACAACATTTACTCACTACATCCAACCATCAATTGTGAACAGAGTTAGAAAAAAGTTAGCAAACAAGTATGGAATATATGAGTGGTATAGGCAAGGCAAATACATTTTTAAATGTTTATTCATTCACAAATTCAAGTGAGGCATAAAACAAGCACAATTTTTTGCTTTAAAATATTTTTTTAAACTGCTTTATAAAATTAATACTGTTTTGTCCACTTTGGCATTACCATTGTTGGCACCATAGCTTTAGCAGCTATCAAAGCAATAAAATATGCTAAGTGAACTATGTGAAAGTAATGAATTGATGGAGATTACGGAACAACTTCAAATAACAATTAAGTAGTGATGTGTAACCAAGTGTATCTTGCATTTGAATATTTTCTCCCCAAAATCACAGACCTGCTCTATAACAGTGTCTACAAGGAAACCTTTGGGGGTCTCACAGGTCATCGCTAAGAAAACACATCTACAGGTGGTGAAAACAGAGGAACTTCACCGAAGCAAAGCGGGCAACTGGACCTATGTCCAATGCAAAGCAAACAATTGGACCTATACCTCCCAGATGATGATGCTATCTCCTGGGAAGACACTCATTAACAATTCAGTTTTCGCAGAACATGCACCACATGGATGCCCTTCTTAGAGACCGTAAGCACCGAAGAGAGGAACTGATCATATATTCATCTTCTCCTTCAGCTTTCATAGGACGGAAGAGGTTTGGATTATACTAAAGGCTGCTACAGTACTAACCTTCCACCTCCCATCCAAACTTCCTCTCAGAAAACTGATCATACCCAAACATCAGTTTAAGATTTCAGGTGTTCTATTGAATGTTCCCTCTAAAGAAATATGAAAACCAATTTATACTAGAAAATGAGATGTTTTTTGCAATACTGCGAGATGCTTACTCAAGTTTTGTAACATAGAGCACAGGAAAGTCATACCATTTCACGTTCCCTGGTAAGATTATAGTGGAGACAGCTATAAAGTAAGATGCTCCCAAGCTTGACTACCACAGTTGCTAGTGACTTCCGTAATACTAAAAGCATTAAATCTAAAGCATTTGTTGCTGAATTACTGATTTACTACCCAAATAACTCCTTTTTTGGTAAAGATGTATCAGTTCACCTGTTTAGACAAGGTGATATTCTCAAGCAGTGGTATTTGTAAAGTACTTTAATGATACTGTAAGAGTACAAGATTGCTTTACATCACAAATAATGCAGTCCACTGGACTGCATTCATTTAAACTACTGAATCGCCTTTCATATTTCCTCCCCCCTTATCAAACTGCTAGACTACTATGTCTTGCAAACAGAGGTGAGGGAGAGGTCACTTTACACCTTTTGCCAGGTAGTGAGTATATTTTGGGATTTCCTCCAGCATAATAGTTTAAAAGAAAAAACAAGACATTACGGTCTATTCAAAAGAGCATATGGTGTAACTGCAAAATAAGCTTGCCTGTACTTATTCAGATGAAGGTCGGAACAAAACATACACAAAACTTAAAACGTAAAGTAACTGCATCTTAACAAGAACTGCCTCTCTGATGAATAGATTCTACATTTTAGGGCTTTATTTTAAGATAACATTACAACGGTTACCCTATACTTAAGTTGAAGTACTTTGAGATAGCTTAAAAATATTAGGGGGGGGGAAAAAAAAAAAGACTAAAATTCAGTGGTACTAAGCTACATATTTTAAGAAAGAAATAGACCTAAACCCAGTTCCAGCCTAGTATCTTTTATTTTGTGTATAACCTACACATACATTTAAATGTACTTTACCTTCGAAAATACTGAAATGGCTCTGTTTGGAAGACTCAGAATTTCAGTTAGGTACTTAAAAAGTACTATTTAATTTAATGCATGATTTAATTTAGCAATCTAGTAAATAAAGACAGTATTCACTGTGAACTTATGGTACGATTGATACATAGTGTTTGACATCAGTATTTACAACTTATTTGATACATCCACCACAGTTATGTCCTACTGCTACAACGTTTCATCAGTAAAACTACTATTACTGATTTTCTACTGTTGCAGATTTGTACCAAGTTTTAAGCTGCGTCTTTACCTTTTTACTAACCTGTAAGGCTATCTGGACGTGGCGGGACCATTCTCTCGTATATATCATACTGCTGTCCATATTGTTCAATATCATGCATTGTTCTTTGCAGCGTTGTTCCCAAATGCTGTGGAACCGCAGTCATGCCAGAACGCTTCGGGGAAGAAGATCCCAGCTGAGTCTGGGACGGAGAAGCTACTCGGGTTTGTACGTCATTAAGGGCAAGAGGAGAGCCAACTCTGACCGATGTCTGGTACTGGGAAGTCCCGCCATTGGGATTTGCTGCCTGTCTGGATGTAACCGAGCCGATCCGCCGCACAGCCGTCGGGGAGGCAGGTCTCTGCGCAGCATATGGGGATGCTGCCCGCTGTACTGGCAGAGTAGTGGATGAATATGCATGAGAAGTAAGGGATCTTTGCTCAGTAACTGATGGAGAACCATACCCGCTACCCAGAGATGTTCGCAGCGACCCCCTTGAAGGGGAAACACCTGTGCTGACCATGTAAGAGGGAGACTGTGCTCTGGATGGGACTGAACTGACACGTCTCATGACTCGGTTGGTAGCAATATTTACTGAAGGCTGTGTAAAGAAAAAAACATTTATTAGTTTTATTTTTTAGGCCATGTAGTGGATACTTTTCTCCCATAAGACAGAGAAGTCAACAAGAAATGCACACAATGTAACGCTATATAAAAGCTGCTTTTAGAGTAACTTTTATTCTAAACGTAATTCCTTCAAGTTTTCCTATAAAATAACTTTTTCCTAATCAGTATTTCTTAAAATATAAAATGGCAATTTAAAATTAAAAACCCATCTGTTCCTCATTCTTACTTGGCTTTCTATGTTAATATGGACTTACGCTTTCTTTCCTCACTACTCTACCACTTTGGAAATCCAGGAACAGTGATGCAAAGAGTTCTAGTACAAGCTAATAAAGTTTTTCAGTTACTGTCTTACTATCATTCTAAATAATGAAAAAGCAGGAGGAAAAGGCCAGAAACAGCAGAAGGTACAGGAACACAAATACCATCTTCCTTTAAGCACTATGGTTACATACAGGGTAAATTCTATGAGGTTTTCCCCAATATCACAACTGAATTTTAAGTGAGTGATAATTTCTTGATATTATATTAGCAGCATACTCTGCAGTCAGGAGTTATCAGAAGTTTTACTTAATTTCAGCTTCAGTGAACGAACCAGATCACACGCATGCTGATTTCAGCAACCAAGTCCATGTCTGCTGCAAGTAATTTCTGCTTTTTAACCAGTGAAGGTGTTAAATAGAGGTGTAATTTAATAACATTAATTCCAGCCTGTACAAAGGTCGGTCCAGCTATACAATTATTATCTTTAAAACTGTGTTACAGAGATAAAGTGTACTATTTTGAGCATACCTGGACTGATGTCTGCCCTTCAGCTCGCGAGCTTCTCACCAGATGGTTATTTGTGGTTCCAATAAGGGAATGCTGCTGTCTGGTTTCTGATTTGCTCAAGTTTTGGCTGTTATGGAAACTGCTTACTTCCTGGTAACCACTGTCAGAATAAGAATTCATTTGTGTTGAACTTCTTGAGTTACCTACAGACCCTGTAGATACGAAGCCAGTATAAGAATAAAGGCATCAAACAACTTCACAAAAATAAAATATTATACAGCTTTGTTATTTGTTGCATTAATAATTGTATTACATTTTTTATAGAGTCAGTACAGGAATATATTCTAATATTTTAAATGCACACAACAGACCCTCACTTTCATGGAGAGATGTCTGTTCTGGTGAGTAGAGGTTCCCTTGTTCGGGTTCTGTCCTAATGTCATAGGCATTGGTATGAACACTCTCTGAAACTCGGGGTTTGTTTACACTGGTGGTTGGAGGATCTGAAAGAATAAATTAATTAGATAAGTATGTTTCATATGCAAGTTTCCTGAAAACTCAATCATCATAATTTTCTCACACACGCTAACGAAGAACTTCCTTCCAGCATAAACAGTCTACTGGTAGAGAGGTATCATCTACCCAACTAAATGAAAAGAATGTTAATACTAATGTCTGAGAATCTCATTTCCTGTAGTTTTGATGTAGTTCTACAGCTCTCATATTTCAAATGTATGTTCCAACCTATTTTAATGAAAAATGTAATTGATTACCTAGTAAGTATACTTTGCAGAGTACAAACATTGTGTAACTGTGTCATAATGCACAGAGGATAGCCACCACTTGTCTTAAGGTCCTATTATCTCAAGAGATTGATAAGTAAAAGGCTGAGTTGAGTTTCATCCCTGTTTGTGTACCATCAACAAAACTTACTGCAGGTTTTGTAAATTTTAAAATTTGTATACTACTATCCAAATGTTTACTTTTTAACAATTTTTAAGCTACCTTCAGTTCTAAGAACATTAGCTGAACTTTACAGACATCAAAGGAAAGCGTCATCACACATAAGAGAAAGCAAAGGAGACATCACAACACTATTATGGAGAAAGGAAAAAAGATAAACATAGTCTGGAGAAAAAAAGAGACAAAGATGACACAAAACAACAAGAAAAACTAAATCAAAATTACTTTGACAGAAATATTAAGCATTCAATTGCCATCATGTAACACTTATTGATGAAGAACAGGCGTCAGAGATGCAGTAGGAAATGTGGGTTACATTTAAAAGGTGACTCCAGATACGTAAATTCTTGCTGAAGAAATCATGAATGAGCCTAGAGTAGAAACCAAAAGAAACATGCTAAGAAGCAACAGTCTAGTAAAAACTTCGGCAACTGCTTCATGTCAGGAGTTGCAAGTTGTGGGCAGTGAAACGGGCTAAGTGCTCTTTGCAAATTAATGTAACAGCACGTTACAGAACAGGGCAAAACTGTTAGGAGTTTGCAGAAATTTGATGCTAGCGGACTTAGGAGGAAGACGGAAGAGGGCTGAAATAAACTCTGCGCAATAGCTAACGAAAATCCTCTCAAACTGACAAAGAATACCCCGATATAAAATCTAGTGGCACTCATGGAAAAAGCACTACACCACCAAAACTCAAACCAAAAAAACCCTAACAGATGAGCTATTGGAAATGCTTTATAAGAGCTGTTATTACAGTATAGCTCAAAAGAGAAATCAAAAACATAGGAGTATTTGTACCTATCAAGCTGTAAAGAAATAATCTGCACACAAAATGCTGATGTCTCACTATTTCTACAATTAGCTGTAACGGAACATTCATACTAAAAATGCTACTTATTAATTGCTATTATGACAAATGTTTGAACACTATTCAAATTCCAGATTTTAAAAAAAGTAAAAAAATTAATAGAAATGACAAGCAGTCAGCACAGTTCTTTGTCAGTAGTACATTCTTAGGTCAAGACCATCTAGTAAAATTTGATGCTAAATAATTTACTATAATAGGATTAATAAGAAGTGTTATCACACTTGCATTAATTTAATCATCAGTATCCCCAGACATGATACAGAGAATCAACACTGAAATAACTCACTTTCACAGCTCCTGTTACACTAACACGATAACAGATCACAACAGACATCAGTGGGTATTATGAATCCTTTAGAAGACTTGTGGGGACTAGGACATTTAAATTACTCTCTAATTATATTCAACTTCAATATTTTAATCTTTGGTCTTTTTTGGTTAAATAATACAAGACCCTGTTATTTTAGTTACTTGATATTACATGATACTAAATCAACGTCAAACAGACAAATAACCAGTTTTGGCAGAAACACATAGGAAGACTAAAGTTCAATTGTGCAGTGTCGTACAGATGTTCCTAAGACAGAGGTCTGAACCAAAACCTCGCTTCCATCACACATTTACCACCAAGCAAATGCTTTCACAATGCTAAAAAATAAAGACTGTTTAGGCTCTCTAACAAAGGCAAAATGCACAATAAAATGAATTGTTGTCTTTCTGTCTTTCTCTGCTACTATAAATCACGAGGAGAGTGCCCTGAATAAGATAATAGCCTTTTATAAATGGCCACTGATCTAATATTCTATTTATAAGCATCTGCAAAACAACATCATTTTATATTTCTGTTAGAAATTCTGTATATTTCTACTGATGCATAAAACAATTTCGGCTATGGTCACGTCATCTGCTGACTTTGATATAAACTACTATTGGCAGTCAGGGAAAAAAGGTGATTTAAGGGGATGTTTTCACTCATCTTTAACTTCAGTATTTTTCAGATTGCAGTTGGTAAAGCATCATCTAGTGGCACTTCTTTATTTTAAAGCTCAAGAGTGAATTTTTAAGTAAAAACTACAATCATGATATAATCACAACATAAATGTAAACACGTATTTTTCAAACATGCCCACTTCTAAGCAATTATTCCAGAAATCCTTACTTTAGATAGAGATGCGAGAAATATACCTCTAGATTTATATTAATGCATGTAGTATTTAAACAGAAATATTATTTTTTTGCCATACATTAAGTGACTTCTCAGCAGGGATGTGCACAAGAGATTTCTAAAGAAAAACACACAAATGGGAGGAGAGAATTAAAAGATAAAATAAAAATATGAGCTGGTTAGATGAAAGACAGAAAGAGAGGAACTAACAGAAAATCAAGGAAGAAAACAAACAGTAGACAAATAATAAGTTACAGGAAAAACTGAGGAGGAAGTAAAGAAGTGGAATACAATTGGACAAGATAAATCAGTAAAACAACGATCAAGATCTGTCAGAGGTATCTTTACCAGTTGTGAAGTGAAACAGAACCAGGGGAAATAATGCGATTAAAAACATCCCAAAATAAAAATAATTTTCACATTGAAAGAATAAGTAAAACTAATTTCTCAATTACTTGAAAAATAAATTTGACTCCTGCTTAAAAATATTGCTAAAAGATTACCTGAAAAGCACCACCATGACTAGCAAAATTTAAATGCCAAGACAAGTAGGCTGTTGAGACTATTAGATATAAAAGAAAGGAAAAAAGCTACTGTGTGTCTCACCTCAGCTGAGGCGATACCACAATGGCAACTGAAACCATGTAAATACAATTATACACAGGTTTAAGAACTTAGTCTCTAAAGCAAAAACCAGGAAGGGGAAGGGAAAGTAGATAGTTCAAGAGACTTATTTACCTAATGTAGTCACAATTATCATAATTATAAATACACTTGCATGAATGAGCAGATAACTATGATGTGTTATTCTTTGTACAGCAGGAACTGCATAGCTCTTAAAACTGCACACATCCTTATATAAAGGGATGATATTAGCACTATGCAGAACTTTGTTAATAAAACTTTTAACAAGCTACCTAAAATTCTAATTGCATTTTGATTACATTACATAAGTTTTGGTTAGGATTACATTCTGTCAAGATTACATGATTGAAAGAGAGAAGCACAATCCAGTGCAAAAAGCAATTTCCAGGGAGTCAAGATCCTTTGTGTGGTCCTGCTGTGTGGTTTTGACATGTTGACTTCTGCACATACACTTTATCACTCTAAAAAGACAACAGCTTTTCAGAAGATTGACTCTTCAATACTAAATATTTTAACCAACCCAAAAATGCTAACTAGTTAAATGCTCTGATCTCTGAAGGGCAGAATGGATTATTGCAACAGACAGCTGAATGTTACTTTTAATGTACAGTCCTATCCATTCCACCTAATATACTCAAGAGTAGATGTAGAATGATCCTTACCTGCCAAGGGGTATACTCAAAAGTATTTTTGAATTAATTGCAAAGGAGACCCAATACACAAGACTCTTGTTGCGGTCATATCTCACACAAAAATTCAAAGGCACAAAAAGGTGCAAGAAAAGTACCTGCAACTACCTCTAACCCAAAACAACCTTTTACAGTAACAAACACACAACTTCCTTCACATGTGAGAAAAAGGATATTAATGTTATGCTTTAGAACAGATACTTGAAAAAGATATGTAACATCGCTGCTAATGTTCAGTTTGCTTCAAAACAAGCAATGAATGTCAAGAAAATAAAGTTTTTTGGGCTTAAAGCAAAATGGATACATAAAAGAGAATACCTGATGATCTCCAAGGAAATGACTTCTCAGTAGAGCTGCAGAAAGAAAAAAAATTATCACAAAAGAACGATGTGGCTAGTTTGGATTTTTTTTTTAACCAAAGCATACAAAATTGCACAACCCCTCCCCAGCAGATAAAGTTTCAATAGCCCATGTAAATAACACTCTGCAGAATTTTGCACCTGACAACTAAACTGTTGGTTGTTGATTTTAATGTTGTATTAATCAGTGGGAATTCCCTGCAACTTACTGTACAGCAAATTATCAAGCAGTGTAACCTATGTGCAATAGGACGGGTAAGAGCATGACTCATGATATGCACTCCCTATTTAAGGTGTAATGACGTAAATAAAATAGCATACAGCAAGTGTTCACAGTCATATGTGTATGATTAGCAGTAAGCAAACTACTTCAAGGGACAGGAGCATTTGCTGCTCATGGTAGGGTCTACCAAAGGAAATTTGGGAATCACAGTTCTAGAGCATTTTGTTTTCTGTATGTAATGCAGTTTGAAAAAAAATGAACAGAAATAGACTACAATTTTTACTGTTATTTCATTTTCCAGTTTTCTAGAGACAATTCTGATCCTTTGCCCATAAGTGAAAGCATCTGACATCAAGAAATGTACACCTCCAAGTGTAAGCAGATAACAGATTTTACGTTGTCAAGGTCAAAGAGATGCCTTAAGAAACAAGTAATTCACAAGATCAAGCAAGTGCTTAATATCAGTGTAATCCCCTACTTCTCTTGTATTTTTACAGTAACTATTTTACATTGAACTATCGTAACCATTTTGTTTCTTCTACAAAGCAATGTTCTTTCATGTGTTGACACAGTATCGATGCACAACCACCTTTGCAGAGACACAGAATTCATCCATGTATTATTAAAACTAGATACATTTTCGCATAAAAATATGTATTTTCTCAGTCTACATGAGCTATCAAACTTCGAATATTAAATCACTTTCGCAATGATTCTAAGCTGCTATTTTCCAACCAAAAGCTATTTAAAGGAAAAACAGGCAGGTCCATCAGATTTTATGTAAGTATCAGCATGAAACTGTGATTTTGTGTAAGATGTACTTCTAACACAGCTACCAATTACAAAAAACTTTAATACAGCAATGTGAACAATACTAGATACTTATTTTCTAAAAAAAAAAAGTCAATCATTTAGGATCCTTTTTTCAAACAAAGTATTTGTCTATAGAAGAATGCTAAACTTGCATGCTAGTACAAACTAAACTACAACTACAATGACATTTAGAGAAAAAAGGAGAATTCAAATGCAGGCTTCAAGTATCTGAAAGCCAACTTCATATCTAGGTAGTAACAGAATTTTTACCACGTATTGGCTATTCTTTCCCTCAGTCTACAATTTTAGTGTCTTTTTTAGTCTTATTTAGACTAAAAAATTAGTCTACACTGATTTTTTTTTTCCTTACAACGTAGATAAAGCAGACCAGTTAAAGAGATGGAAACTTGGTGTACAGAACTACAGATGAAGAGCTGAACACCAGACTGAGACTTTGCAGACTCATCTAAATTCAGAAGTTTCTTTGTGTTCTACTGTATTTGAGATGCTTATCGAGAGAAGGGTGCTCAAACACAAACTACAAATTCAGATGCATGCCTGAACTTGCACAAATATTTCCTCTTTCCTGAAGGACCATCTTGTCCAAGCTCAGAAGCACAAAAGACAAAATCACTTAGCAGTACTGGAACACGAGTCCAATGTCAGAAACACTAAATAAGTACATAAACAAAAATCAAACTACATGTCAGAACAGGATAAGCAACTACTTCAACTGAATGTTATCCTGTGAGTTTAACTAGGACAGTTAAGAACCTACCCTACAACAACCAGCAGCTACCTTCCCCAAATCTCAGTTACTGTGACCACGTGAATTATGTCATTTCACCTGAGTGCAAGGTCAGGTAGGTTAGTTTAGACTACCTTTAGTGGTATAGTTTATATTAGGATTTAAACAAACCCAGATTTTGCATGACAGAGCCTGCTAAGGCATTTCAGGAAAGAAGGGCATAGCCTCCAGCTAACAGGAGGTAATAAATGGCTATTTCTTTAGCTATTACAACTTACTCCACAGAAGAACAGATTACATGAATGTGATACATGAGCTAGACAGCTGTGTGAAAAACCAAAAGTATCTAGAGACAACTGGAAGTCTGCAGCAAAGGAACTGTACTACCATCACTTGGCAATTCCAGAGCAGTAGGCAGTGCCAAGACCACCAACCCACAATTTTTGCACAGCCTTGGGCTAAAGTTCATTCAACTTAAATAAAAAGTTAAAAATATTTCTCATTTCTAGTATTCAACTACCATTGAATCGAACTAGTGCATTAACTCCAGAATGTTTCTGTGGCATATTTTGTGGATTGTAACTACACGCCAAAGTAAATTCTGTGCAACTTTTCTAGTTGTTTGTGTGTGAACTGAACCTTGTAACTATTTTGATGCAACTTTAAAAAAATATTTCTATTGCTAAAAATTCATGAGGAAATTTGTACCAAACCCAGTATTGAGTTCAGAACAATTTGTATAAAACCAAATTAACTTTAATTACTGAAAGCTGAGTTCTGAGTTCTGTAAAGAATTCCTGTTGAATTCTTTACAGAGTATATTATTTACTCTTCACTGAGTAAACTTGGATTATAATAGGTTCTTTAATTGATTACTGTTAGCCTATTCATTAATACTTTGCTCCACTGAAATTAAGAAATATGAAGAGTATTTGATAGATACTGTGACCACTGGCCCCAGAATTCTCATGCTACCCGAATGTCAAGTTTTGCACTCTTCACCTCTTTATTCCTCTGACTTTCTAGAAATTCAATCCCTTATAATGAGATGAGATCATCCGGTGGTACTAGCAAAGGCAAAAATTGCTAAGCATACAGAAATACTTTACTCTTAAATACACAAGATTATAAAAGCCCCCAAACGTGTCTCTAGCCAACAGATCTAACTAATTGAACTTGCTTTACATGTACAGGACTTAAGAATGACACAGGTTGCTCTGACTGTGGGTCATAAATAGAAAGCTACTTCATGAACAACTAAACTCGTTAAGAAATTACCTTGATTCTTATTAAATTATTTTTGCAAAAGTCCAGCATCTACCACCTACTGACTTCACCATCTAATTTTGTCACCTTACAGATGAAACGTTTTGAAGTTACCAAATCTTTCAGCTTTGATAAGTCAGTCTAATGCATTTTTTACCACAGTTCAAAAACTTTTAAAACGGTCAAATACTGCACTACCAATGAGAAGCTGCTGCCATTAGCTAGCCATTATGCTGTCTCTTCCCGATAGTAATATGTCACACATCTAAAGACAGCCCCTATGTGGTGCATTGCACTTCTAAAAATACTTGATTTTAGCCCACTATTGCCCTTGGGAAAGAATTAGGTTAGCAGGGTAGACATACAGAAATACAGTCAATTAAAGAAGTTAGAGATAAATATTATTACAGTATAACAGATATTTTTAAATGATACGGAGGGAAAGTATAGCTAAAATATCAGACACACAGTCATGTACATGAAAAGACTTTTCGCAATCTGCTTTGCAAGAGCATAAAAAAGTAAGTGAAATAAAAACATAACTCTACACAAAGAGCATATAAAATACATACACCAAAGCAATAATTTTTTTATCCGGTAACACAAATTTGGTAACTGAAGCATACAAGCTCTGCTGAAATAATTTTTTTTTTTTTTGATCCTTTGCATTTTTTTCCCCTCACTTCTATTTACTAGGTATCTGGATTTTTTTTGTTTGTTTGTTTTGGGGTTGAGTTTTCTTTGTTTGGGGTTTTTGTTTTGTTTTGGAATTATCCCTTTCTTAATTTCACACCTTTTCTTTGCCATCTTACATCTTATCATCAAAGCTGATGTCTTAGACACAAAATTTAACTAGCTGCCAGCCTGGAAAAGAAAATAAACTGGAAAATGGCGAAGGTTTCATATGATGTCATTTAGAGACAAAACATACTAAGTGTCACTAGTACCATTTCACATTCTTCAAGCGATAGCTCTCAAATACACAAGTTCCAACTTTGGATTTCCAAGTTGGAAAAGGAGGTCAACATTCATCTCAGTCGAACAGCTATGACAGCTCAAGGACTTGGCCACACTTCAAAGGCAGAACTGGCCAGTTGAAGTCACGGCCAGGTCCCTGACAGTACCTGTGTATGGGATAGTAAGGCTACAGGAACAGTACTAAAATGTAAGAAAATTGTAGATTTCTAATTTTTGTTAGGATGTCCTAAGCAGTATACTATTTTAAAAATTATGTAGAAACAACCTTCTTGGTCTTCAGTTTCTAGACTGGACAGTTAACTTACATTCTTGGTGCTACATACATCTTTTGCAGGCATTGTATGACATGAAACAGTTTATGCCTGTTAATTTCAGCAAGTACTCCATAAGATGAAATGTATTTCTGATTTAAACAACACCACTTGAGATAAAAGTAGTGATTTCCATTGCCTATCTTAACTACTCGAGTATACCACTGTTGTCATCAAAAAAGGCAACAGTGGAAAGAAATTATTATTTATTAAATATTTTTAAACAGTGAAAAGCTGCGAAAAGCTAAATATGTAATTCTGCTGAAAATTTATGTACTTCACACATATTTCTTTAGTATTTTAGTTTACTGCTTGGCTAAGCTTTCATCATTGCAATACATCTGTTCTGTCAGGCATCCTGTAGCAAATGGTTTATTGACAGGGATTTGTGCTTGCTGCTTAGGCAGAGCTGCCAGGCAAAACTTAAGTGCCTGTTAAGACTGAATGTACTGTTTTACTTGTCATTTACCTTCCATTTTAAATAGCTACATCAAGAACGCATTTACAATTATATGCAGTATGAAGGCCTGAACCTTTGTATGTAAATTTTTGGTATAGGGAGATTTTTCTAATAAAAATCACATATATTACACTCCATAAACTCATAACACACAATACAAGCAACTGGCAACCATCAAGATCAGTATAACGAGAT